TTGTTACTACTAGCAAGGCACTTGTTAGTAGTAGCGATGCACTTGTTCCTAGTAGCGTCCTTGTTCCTAGTAGCGATGCCAGGAGCCCCGAGTAGCGTCTTCCCAAACGCGTTTTCTGTCTGTTCTTCGACCTGGAGGATGAAGCAACATGTCTGTGAAATACACATTCGTGATAGGGATTTATGCATACCATTTAGAACAGAAAAAACTAAATGAGTGGAGGTTCTGTTTGAACGTCTTCCACGCTGGATGGGAAGGAGGCACATCTACTTCCTTGTCCCGAACCAGAACCCATGACTGATGAGTCATCCAGCTCTAGGCTGCCCAGGCAGGAGTTGGAAAATGGCGCGCCAGAGCTCTGGCATCTCCAACACGCCACACGCCTCCCGTTCCACACGTTCCCATGAAACACCGGGCTGTGCTGGGGCGGGTGCACAGCATCAACCTTGTGGGACCTTGGACGTCCGCTCGGATTTGTGTCCGTGCAATTTCCTTCCGCCCCAGAAACTTATTTTAGGTGACCGCGCAAGTCTTGAAGGTTCAGCAAAAGCCAACACGTTGGGCATACCTGAAAAAAAGCAAAACGGGATGTGAACCCAAACCTTTGATTAGTCTACCTACCTGGATCTTGTTCTCACTTTCTTCCATACAATGTACACAATTCACATCTATTTATCATTCCAAACAGAGTCCACCAATGCCGGAAACACCATCCAAGAGGGTCCTGCAATGTCCAACACTATAGCCTCCCAAAATCTTTTGCACCCTTCGACTGCCTTCCCTCTTGCCCGCCTGGATGAAATTCCTCACTGCCTCCGCGTGCTCCGTGTGCTCCGCGTGCCGTGGTACCGATAGTATGGTCTACTGAGTCTACTGAGAGATGTATATTGCTAATCTTATGTTTGAAAGGTGTTGAGTTTCAAGCTACACTCAAAAGGTGCTTAAGGCAAAACCAGCCAGCTTTCTCTGAAATCTCATGAGACACCATCTGCTTTTTGATTGAATTCTAGATTCTAGATCACGGAGCACTGTGAGTATGGCGAACATGTTTTACATTCAGTGTCTCAAAATCAGGGGCACCAATGGGCGTGCATATCTTTGGAGGATCTCTTTTTTCAGAGAAGTCGATCCTCTGCCACAACCGGCAAAGACTTTCGATATTTGACCTGTTTTGATCTATACGCACCGAGAGACACGAGTTTTTTCTCGTCCAATCATTCCTCAATTTCTCTCAAATCCATCCCCACCTCCACAATGAGCTTGCAATGAGGGATCAGCAAATGTGGCTCCGACTCAGTACGCTGAAGCAATGCCTCGGGAAGAGGCCGAGGGCAAGGGTAGATCGATCGGACAAAGAGCTCTTCGGAGCATAGACCAAAGCTCGGAATCGCAAAGAATGTTTGTAAATGTCTCTACTTCACTCATTTTTACAAATGATCAAGCGTGTTAATCATGTTTAATCCATATCCACTCTACACCACAGGTATCAAAGCTGAGATGAGTCCACAAAGGTCCAAAAAACTCTGACTATGTGTGAGCAACCAATCATTCAAATAAATATATTATACAGTTTTACATGTTTACATCAAGATGATTCAAGACTAATACTACACTACAATCATCTACTGTACCACCTGCACTACAACATAGCAACCTCCAACTAGGGAATTCCAAAGCAAAGAGCATCAATCAAGGTTCATGAGTTGAGACATCTTGAGACAGTTGAGTCACGTTTTCCCAAATGTCAGTCCTGTTTTCCCATGTATTCCTTCATTCACCAGCATCTCTGGACACAGGATCTCGGGAGAGACCCTTCAGCCATGTCCTCCCGACCTCAATCAACCGTACAGGCCATCCGCTGGAGATGCCTCGCATACCCCCGCGGCTCGGAGGATTCCAAAGCTTCACTACCAACAAGTCCAGATGGTCTCAACAGAAATGCTTTAGGAGACAATCTCGGACTGACCAGTCCAATCATTTGAAAACAGAAAGAACTACAAGTCCAGTGGATCACCACAGATTGGCACATGTCCCTCCGCCTCCATCCTCCAAAGTGAGCAGGGCCGCTCCAATCTGAGGAATGTGATGAAGTCTTGAGACCCCAAAAGGATGCATTTAACAGGTGTTGTGCTCTTGCGTGTCTGTTTCTTTCGTATGTTTCTATCCCTTTCATTTTTGGTTTCAGAAACTGTTGAAGAACTTTCTGTGCTCCTTTCGGTTCCTATATAGTTCTTTTTATAAACATCCCAAGATATCCCAAGGGTTCACCGGTTCAATGAACTGTCTATTTACCCTACACTGCTTGTGGGCTTCCGGATACCGCTTGGATGGTGTATCGATGTGTATCGTCGATTCTCCCAGCCGGGCACAGCAGTCCTTCATACTCCACTACTGTTAGGAGGGTTTAGCGGTTTCTAAGACATCTGAATCGGCACAAAGAAACAACTTAACTGCCTTTAGCAAACAAAATGTCGACATCGTTTCCCAAGAACGACATGTTTTTGTTGGACACATTTTCTGGTGGGGAGGTGAGACCAAGAAAGAACGGGCTTTCTGCGCATCCAAACAGCGTCTTTAGTCTTTAGGCATTCAAACGGCGTGTCCATGGATCGTGAGCACGTGTTAAACAGAATTAAATTCTTATTGTTACTAGTAGTAAGGCACTTGTTTCTAATAGCTTCTTGTGACCACTAGTAAGGCACCTGTTACTACTAGCGTGTCCATGGCGTGTTTGCAACTCTTTAAACAGAATTAATTGTTCGATTTACAGGGCCTTTTGACTGAAGCATGCCTTTGGCACAGATTTAGCCGGTTTGAAGATCCAGGTATGCTCAACCCACAAACCATTAAATACTGCTACTTAAAGAATTTCAAAGAAACCTCTCTCATATCTGCCTAGTCCTTGTCTTTCTCACACAAAACTCTTCAGATTCCAACACATCGCGACTTGGATACCTCGACTCGCGCGACTCGACCTGAAAGATGGCGACGATGCCGAACTTCAGCGCTCGCTCGCTGAGATCCTTCCGTCGCAGCACGCAAGCAAGACCCACCTGGCGGTCGGGGCATCGCACTGAGCTTTGGGGCACGGGTTTCCGGTCAGCCAAAGTCCAGTGAGATTCCAAGGTGGATGTGTAGCTGTTCGGTTGAGCGATTCCAAAACACATTCAAAGACGACATGGTGATGAACCGCGGGCCACACTCACTGGGCATCCGCACATGCGCGCAAACGCTGAGCTCTTGCATCGAGGGCGCTTCCCAGGATACCAGCCTCACCATGAGCTGTAGACTGATATAGCTTCAGCATTTTGCTCTTGGATAATTACAATGTATCCTTACACCATTTTACATCCTCTCCGCCACTCGAAAGACTCCCGATTAAAAGTACCAGGCCAGGGACATCTACATAATTCTGGGGAAAGTCCATAAAAGCTGGCCGGGAAAAACATACAGTACCATGCTGCCAGAGCTCAATAAATAACTGCGATACCACCCAAATACCATCCCGCAAAGAACAGATGGAAAGCGCTCCACGGCAATAACAAAAAACTTTTGGAGCTTGCCCTTAGCAACCAAAGGTTAGAAGAGTGATCTTCCTCTGCAGGTAGGTGCGAAGCTTGTTGTTCCCAAATAAAGTGAAACGGTGTGGTGAGGAGCAGGGAGCGGACAACTGGACAACAGCAACAAATGCCATTGTCAGATTGGGGGGGCATCATCTCTTTCTTATTTACTGTCTCTTTTTATACCGAACGATGAATGTTCAGTGTATACTAGGAGTTGGTCCGATCAACCTTTTGCAGGAAGGCGAGTGCCGCAAGAACTTAGCAAACCACTGGCAAACCCACTCCGCTTTCTGCCAAGCAGCTTTCGACTGTGATGACCCACTGTCGCCAACAGGAGCCTGGCAAATCCAGTTGAGGTTTGTTTTCGTGTCACTGTGGTGACACCAAAATTTTTGGATCGAATCAACTCATATATCAAAACTACAGTCAGGTTTATGATGAAACACATGCTTGCAAGGAAATCAAACCAATGGAACTATGTCCATGACCACTGAGACGGGCTCATGGATGCTCATGGAGTATCTTGCTGGGTGTTGAGGAAAACATAGGAAAACACACAACTGCGATTGGTGGAACTGTTGGCTTTCTCTATCTCTGTTTGAAGGAAACCCCGCTGCATACCAACAATGAAGCAACCCGGGACCACACGGCAATCGGCCAAATCTACATCATCTAGCCAAATTCCACGAGCATCTTGTCTGTCACCCCTCCGCGCGGGACTCTATATAGCTCTGGGTCCATAAGTGCTGAATAGTTGCTGGAAAACCTCTTGAATTGCATGTGTTTCAATGCGCTCTTGCTGTTGATTGAAAAGCATTGGTTCTTATGGACAAGTTTTGCCGCAAAGCTCGATCCTGTCCCACATGTCCACCCTCACCTGGTGGCAAAGCGCAATGTGTCATAACCATCCAAAATGTTTAACTGGAGCGTTCGCTTCGGCAGCTGCAGCGGTTGAGGTGTCTGGGCGAGACAACTCGAGTCGCACAGTTCGGACACAAGTGGAACAATATGTAAAGTACGAATGCAAGATCCGTATGAACTATATGTGAACTCCCAAAACACGTATTGAAATGTGTTGAATATATGTTCCAGGACTTGAAACTACCAGGATGACCTGCAAAATCTCCAGTTTTGTGAAAGTGCAATTGCACGCAGGCCAGGCTCCCCAACGCCCACTGTGACAGTGTCGTTGGGCCAGAATGGGAGTTCCTCTTTGCCTGGTGAGCAGCTGCGTCATGCAGCTCAAACCCTAGTTTAGCCGACTCCAGCCGATTCCTAACAGCTTAAGGTCGTTTGCAAAAAACATAAAGACATTTCGAGCCCCGCCCTCTGAATAAAAGAATATTCCACAAGCACGGTTGCAATCGCAAAGTAGTTAATAGAGACATTGGCTATCGCAGCACAATCAAAGGTAAACCAAAGTGCGTTTCGGTGGCACTGAAGTGCAAACCATGGCCCTCCAAGGTCCCATGTGGCCTGGTTTGTTGGCACCGGACCGTAGCGCTAAAAAAAGTGATGAGAGGTAGCACAGGAAAAGCCTGGCTGGCAGCTCTGGTTTTGCGGCATGTGGTCTCCAACCATGCGAATGATTCCCAAACACTGTGTATCATGCTGCTGTCCGAGTGCTTTGTGCTCCAAATATACCCCAAGCTGCACACAACCCGTCCACCGGATTCCAGCGTCAGCCTGCGGGTGAAACTGTCAAGCTTTGATCTACTAGGTTTCTTCGTTTGCTGGAGGCCTGCTTAATTCAGGCCATGCAGGCTTTATGTATATAATTGGCCTGTACTCCTTTTGGGTAGTGAAAGATCATCACATTTGTTGTGAACACTATTTTAGATCATTGTATTATGCGTCATCAGAACCTCCGACCCCAGTCTAGAACAATGAACGTGAGCGGGACCGGCGTGTTAACCTGATATGGAGTCCGGCGTGCAGTGGGCAATGTCGGTCAGCAAAAATCACACCGGAACGGAATGGAAACGAGTAAGGAAAAGCACCTTCCGAGTACGTGTCTTTATACTTTCTCTGAGGCAGCTGGCCTGATGTTAAAATAGTCAAATAGTCAAAGCTTTAAAACCATAAACAAATGTAACATCATTTTTGATCCTATCACCTACTGAAGCCTGTGCATTTGAGTGCGGCTCTTTCATGTTAAGTAGAAAAAACAATGAAGCCCGTGGGGCCATCTTTTTTAAAACAATTGGGGTGCTGTTGAGTAAATCGGCTTGTACAGGGGGGATCCCCAGCCCCCCGTGTACAAGGTCCCAAGCGCTACCGACCTTGTGCAGGGTAGGGGCTGAGGACCCCCCCTGTACAAGGCGATTTACTTAACAGCACCCAAAAGTTGTTAAGTTAATCATTATGTTTTTAAAAAAACAAATGGCCCCACAGGCTTCATTGGTATTTTCTACTTAACATGAAAGAGCCGCACTCAAATGCACAGGCTTCAGTAGGTGATAGGATCAAAAATGATGTTACGTTTGTTTATTGTTTTAAAGCTTTGACTATTTGACTATCTTAACATCAGGCCAGGCAAGGCTGACAATATTTTCTTTTTGGTAAAGGTGTTTTCAATTGCATAAGGCAACATAAGGCAACATAGATAACAATTTCTGCACTTCTGTCACTAGCAGAGGCCAAGAACAGCGTAAATGCCAGCAGTGACGATTGCTAAGCGATGCTGTTATTTACGCCAGCATCCAAGGCCTGTTAATATACCTGCGTTCACAAGTCACTCACATTGCAAACACGCCTCTCATTGATATGCTTTCTGTAGGAGCCCAAAGATAAAGTCCAGAAACCAAACATGTTTGGCCCATGGAAGCTGTTCCTTTTGAACTGGCTCATTTGGGCCAAGCATACTTTAGGAGTGTCCAATCTTTGGAGGCATGGCCTTGTGGCTTGGGGAACCCGGTGACCCCAAAAGGCTGAAAAGGCAAAGCGACAAGAAGCGTTTTTGTTTCTACTAGCTTCTTGTTACTACTAGTAAGGCACTTGTTTCTAATAGCGTTCTTGTTTCTACTAGTAAGGCACTTGTTACTAGTAGCGATGCACTTGTTCCTAGTAGCGAACATTGTTTCTAAGCGTTTTGCCCAAACATCACTTTCTTCTAAGTCCAGGCGGGGCAGAATCTTGTTGTGCGATGCTGTAACATGTTGTGAGTGGAGCTGTGGACTAAGGCAGCACAAGACACCTCGAACGGAATAACAGGTGTTCTTTCTCAGGTGGGCGGCGGGTTAAATGCAGCTTTTATCCGGAAGCTTTCGCTCCAACTCCTTTGATTCCTTTTGCGGCTTCCAATACAATGATGTTGAGTTGGTAGATCCAAGAATGATTGACATTGCTCAGCTTTCTCTCTTTTGACATCAGCCATCCTCATGCTTGGTGGAGACTCATGAATTAGAGGTACTTCAAACACTGATGCCAAGATCCGGTTCTTCAAGGCGTTGATCAGCAATGCCCCTTTCAGTTTCTGCTTTTTACAGCTTTTCTTGGAAAGCACATACCTTTCCGGGAATGACTTATATACTAGCAACAGAATCCATTGGGGACCGACCCCACGTGAACAATCCGACAAAACAAGGTTTCTGGGTGGGTGTTTCTGGTCAGGGGGAGGGTGACAATCACCCTTTGCCAACATGATCGACTGTTCCAATCCTTAGGGCATCATGCTAAACTTTGCTGCTAAACCATGATAATCAATGCAACTCCATAATTTCAGGATCCCACCCACTTTAGAAACTAACAAAGACAATGATTGTGAGTCCCTATCTTTGCAACGCCTTAGTGCCGAATCGACTTTTCCTTTCCTTCTCGGGTGTCAAGCAAATCTCACAACGTGCGACGACCAAAACATCGCCCGCGTGGCTGGATGCTGGCAGGTGAGGCCTTAGAGTAAGACAGCCCTCGTCGTTCGAGTCACATGGCAAACGCAGGCAGTGAGGACAACCCAAATGGCATTGTCATGCTTGTATCAATTGCAACTCCAAGGCAAGGGAAATAAACAGCGGCTGACTAGGACAGTCCCAGACATGACATTCATCCATTATAAGTCATCAGTTAGTTATTTTACGTATGTTATTTGTGTACACTTTTATTGTGCTATTTCTAGATAAGGGACTCTATCTGGTAGTGCTCTTTGTTTGGGTTGCGGAGCTCAATCATGCATTGCAAAAGGAAGAGACAGATGCTTGAGACTGTTAAAAGCTCCTTACAGCTGCCCACCACCTTCATTTTTGGTGGCAAACATTTGTGCACTTGATGCCATCCATCATCTGAGCCTCCCACGGTGTCAGGCCCTGCCAGGAATGGGGCACCACGGCCAGATTGGAGGGACTTCATGAACGGAGAGAGTCAAACCTCCATACCGTGCAATTCGCACATACTGGTGGTAGATTCTCCTGTTCAGGATGTGGACTTTTGAGGTCCTACAAGCAGGTATCGAAGGCCGTGATGCACTACTGCTGGAGAATGAATGCACATTTGGGGTTGGCCCTGCCCCCAGTGTGTAACGTCTGGTACCAGTATGTTGCTCAAGGACCTTGAAAAACACTTCGACCGAACATCTGACTCGGTCCATTCCAATCCAAGAAGCCTCTCCCAAGCCAACAAACAATGCTTTTGGTTGCATGTGTGTGATGTGCAGGATAAAGAATTCGTTGCCCTACACCCGATTGAGCCCGGTCATCGCCTGCGTCGACTCCTCTGCCAGCACCAGCCTGGCTAATCGAACACGGTGACCCAGCAAGCCACTGAGGCAGAATGGAATTTGGATACTATTTTGGATACTAAGATGCAGTAAGACGCATGAGAAAAAACACCACAACAAAGCAAAGTCTTAAACAAAGAGAAAACAATGTTAAACCATTCACCCTCACATGTATATATATATATATACATGACTGGGCCATCGCACATCGCCACCCCCACATGTAGCAGCTTCAATCCTCAGAGCCGTTTTCTCGCTTTGACCAAAGATCCTCATTTGGCTGTGGGCAGGCTCCGGGTTTTGACCCACAGCCATTTTGACCTGAAGACTAAGAGGGCAAAGTATGAGCTAAGAAAAAACATGAAAAACCGAGGTGGCTGAACTGAGTGAGCTGAAACAAGTGCCACGCTAGTAGTAACAGGTGCCTTACTAGTAGTAACAAGAAGCAAGTAGTAACAAGAAGCTATGAGAAACAAGAACTACTCACTTCTCACTTTCCGCCCACCCTGCAGGACTCGCTGCCCTGCAGGTTTGGATCCCCGGCCGTGGCGATGGCGTTGGGGTGGGAGATGCCTGGCGTCTGGGTTCACGGCAGATGGGCGAGAGGAATTCCAATGCGTTTTCAACAAAGAATCCAATTCCTCTTGGGGTGCGGAACTGTAGGTACTTGGAAACGGACATTCACTGGTGATCAGTGTGGTGCGAGTTGACCGCATGTGCTCAAGTCACTTCACCTGAGCCGTTCTATTCAACAGCCCGTTTGACTGCAGAGGCTCTTGGCCGCTCGCTCTCTTTCTCGCAACAAGACTCTATTGCACCTAGGACGCTGTTTCGCCATCTGCCCACGTGGTTCAAACGTGTTCAAAACCTGCAGTGGCACCTGGACTGAATGTGGTCCGATCAGAAATAATTCTCCATGTGAAAGGATGATTGGATTGTGACCAAGTGGGACATCTATTCATATTGCCTTGGGCATCTTACCCTGCGGACTTTTTGAAGGCATCTTGGGTGTGGGGTTCAAACCACATTCCCTGCTTCTCAATGGTGCTGACAATGTGCCATGCTGTATTGATGTGACGCAACATTGCTTGCCAATAACTTAGACTGTTGATGAATTTACAGAAAGCAACGAAATAACCGAAAACAGTCGAATGGTAAGCCTTTATCAACAGTCTACTTTATTGGCTAATCATTGTCCTTGCGTCATTGGCTCTCATCCTCGGGTGGCCGGTCGGCGACTGGTGACGGTTGGATGGATATCCTTCGTTCAAAGTTATGCCCCTTGTGTAGCCACCAAACCATCCAAGAAATCCCTACAAATCCAAGAAACTCCAAAGCCCTCAATGATACAAAAGTATGGACATTCCATGTTTGTTCTTTGTCTTGGAGCCTTACCTGAAAGGGTGTTTCCTTTTTAGTCCATTCTCCATTTGATTTAGCAAGTCCCATCATATCAACCGGTAGCATGCTCTGGATTGGAACAGCACATGCACAAGCCTCCGTGCCACACTGGGTAGGAGGCCCCCAAACAAACAATGTACTCTCTGGTTTGGGGTGTCAATTTGACACCAATGACTATGACTTTTGGACAATAAACAGAACCTCCGCCCCTGGTTGGCAATGGGACAATATCTCGATCTGTCGTCCCCGCAGTCTTCCTCAAATCTTGATCCACACCCAAAATGGCGGACCCCCAACGCCTTGGTGTTTTATGATCCTTCATCTTCATCATGCTAATTGCCCTGCCCCCTATGATCTTTTCTAGGTCTAGGTATGTTCCCCATCTGCGCCAGCGCCGTTGGGCGCGTAGCCACGGAGCGTCCTGCGGCAGTGGGGCCAGGTTCATCATGGCTGTCATGAGTCCATCACGGCGGTAGTTCACCCAATAGGCCGAGCTCTTCTCGTTTCCGAGTGCCTGACCGGCGCGATGGTGGGCCGACACCGTAGAATTGCATGTTCGTCTGAACATTGCAACAGTAGTGCATATAGTTTGGAAGTTGCATCTATTTGCATCAGAAACCAATCAAGGAATCAAGCACTTGGAAGTCTTGGTTTCTTGAATAGTTGCCTGAAGATTCACATGACCAATTAAGAGCTAATTAGTAGATTGTTTGTGTTGCTTTGAGTAACGTATTTAGTCTGGACAATCAATGTCTCCGTTTTGATTGTTTGTGTAATTCCGAACAGTGCTGCAATCAAAGGAAGATGAAACGCATGAACTTCGGATGTCTTTGACCATCTTATCTTATCTTCAAAACATGTCCACCTGTACAACTCCTGGGCACGTCTGGTGGCCAGGGTCCCCACCTGCAGCACTGGCAGCCCAAGCCCGTGCCAAAAGTGGTATTGTAACCTTCGTGGCTCGAAGAGGGCAGCGACCCAGCGGTAGTTCCTGAGCCCAGCTCGGCAGCGTCGGTTCTCCAGTCCAAAGGGATCTATGTACTCCTGGATCGTTGAAACAGTCATATATACAGACAGTATTACTGAAGACCTCATCTACAACAGCTCCTTTGTTCCTGGTCAAGTCCCCAGTTGCGGCGAAAAACAGGCTCCCCTGTCTGCTGACTGGAGTACAAGCATGTTGATAAATTGATAAACTTAAATGTGTCTTTATATACCTAGGCTATCTTTCCTGATCAGCTCATGAAATGTGCATTTACCTAGGCCCCTAGGCAATGCTTCCTGATCCACTCATGATCATTTGCTCCAAGAGGCCACACAGTGTAGAGGCCTACGTTGAAGTCATTGAAAGCTTCAGAGTTTTCCTCCTTGAAAAGCTTTCCATCCCAACCTCGAGCTGACGACACACATCCGGAGCATCACCCTTGGTTTCCTTGGGATGCAGGATTGAGAATACAGCACTGCAATGCATTGCAGCACTCATTCAGTCAATGGTTGCAGAAGAACACAGTACAACATTGTCCGTTTCTGAACCCCATCTCATCTCACTGGGTCGACATAATAGAGTTCAGGATTCTCAAAACCGATGGAGGTCTCAAACTTTCCCACATCCAATGTTTCTGCATGGAGGTGATAGCTGAATTTGAAAATTGCAAACCACTCGTTGTAGAGGAACATGTTTGTCTAAATCTAAGTATTCTTAAGTTTAACTAAGTAGTTCTACCTCGTTTAAAACATTGCGCCATTTGGAGCCTGTAAGCAGCCACGTTTTTGCCTTAAAGTTTTGCTGCTTTATGCGGTTTTTGTAGATTTGTAACCATGACCTCCGGTCTCCGGCTCTTGCACCGCTCTGGGACCATGGCTGAACTCGGAGACTACCGCGAAGGCCGAGACCAAGAGGCCCATGGCCACGTTCCTCCGCTCACCGGATCACCACCCAGTGTTGACAACGTGCAGATTGCATCATTTGGGTTTTTCTGATTTGTTCTCTCAGGTAGGGTGTAAATCAGGTCTATCATCAATGAAACTCATGTGCCGCCGAGCCATTGACCAAGGTATGGACCAATGTGAGCTGCTTGGGCAAAATCAAAAGCACGGCCAACATACCCTTGCTTTGCATGTCATCCAGGTTGCTGCTGGCGGTGCTGCAAGGAGACTCTCTGCAACTCACCCTCACCAACTTGCATGTTCTCCTCACACCGTGTGGCCACTGTGTCACTCTGTGTGCGAAAACGCACATGTCAAGGCCGGTTGAGCATTGTTCATGGAAAGTATGGACACTAAGAATACATTACAATTGGATTAGTTGAGAAACACAACGATCTTTGATAAAGTCAGAGCTTTGCCACCCTTGTGCTTCAGGGCGGAACCTGTGTTACGGGGCAAACCTGAGGTCAGTGTATTCCATGAGTCCACCACCCACAAAACATCTGCGCGTCGGAGTTGGAGGCATTCATCACTAAGATGCGTATGTCTCTAAAAGGAGAGAGAGGGACCCCCCAATGCCCAATGGGTTGCAATGTCTAATTCATTCTAATTTCCTCCGACCGGCGCTTCGTAAATACGGAGGGCACGGGAAGATGGAACAGGTTGATGTCGAGTCATGGCCGGTCGAAAGTACTTTTGATTGCGACCGTTTCGTTACCTCGCTGCGAGATCTCATGCACCTAAGGCTAACTCCATAGCCTATCAGGCCTATCATCTGCTCTATCATCTGCTCTGCATAATAACCTATTAAAAATAAAAATAGATGTTTCCATAGTTGCTGGATGTCCTTTGAGAATTTCCGTTTTGAAGGCTCTCAAAAACAGTAGTCACTGAAGCACAACACAACTGCGAAAACAGGCCATAGTTACCACCGTTTGACTTGGGAAACGTCAAAGAACCTTCACCACTGAAATTCCCCGGTGGGTTTTCGCTTACACCCGCTGTAGGAAGCTTCTCTGACTGAGTTCCATCCAAGTTGCGTGCCAAACTGCCCATGCGATGTTGAGGAACAGGAACCATTTGACTTTCTTTGCATAGTTCACTTTGATGGACTGGTGACCACCATTCTTAATGTCCTAAGTTGTGAAAGAAACATATGCAATGGTCCGATATTGGATGAAAGTCCGATATCATGACCAAAGGTCTATGCACGTAATGATCATAATACTGCAAACGAACTGCTTTATGTTCCTCAGCACTCCTGTCAATCTCTGTCACTCAGTGCCAGGCCAGATGTGCTAGATAGTTTTGCAACCTCAGTGCTCAAAGCTAGTCCTTCGATACGTCGGAGAGGCACATTGTGAGCCGCCCCCGAATAGTGCAAACATTGAATGATCAACATGACATCAGGAATGCATGTAAAGACCCGGAACCTATTGATATTTGGGAATGCATGGGAATGGTGCCAGCCCAGGGCCTAAGAATGGTCTCCAAGCCGCAAACGATGTTGCACTGCTTTTCAGGCTCAAAGCAAACTGTGGCAGAATTCGCTCATTATAATTGTGTATATATATATATATGTGTTCCTTTAACTGTTTTCAGTTGTTTTTAACCGAAGGTTCCAGAAGTGCAGCTTCCGTGTCTGCCCCAAGCAGCTGGGACCCCACGCATCGGAAGCCCAACGAGCACAGCTGGCGCGAGGTGGGAAGAGTCCAATGGTCGTCCAAGCGAAAGACCGTTGGTCATGCGTCCTTTGTGAGTGTCAGGTCTAACATGGTCTAACTACCATGAGCTACAGGATTTCGTCATGTTGGAGATAGACATGGGGTCAGGAGTTGACCGCCTTCGCCATTTACTAGAGAAAAAGATCCTGGCCTGCAAGTGGTACACGAGTCTTTCGTTTTCACGCAAAAGCATATTCCCCTCATTCAGAATTGCCTTTCCACTGTGGGGTGTCCGTCGAAGATCAACAGACCCCTAACCCAACAGGTGAATACACTGGAAGTGAACTTGTGAAGTGAGTGGTACGACAGCTGGTCTGTCTACGTCCTTACTATATTATCTGGATAGTGGTAACAGTGATATATATATATATTTATACTATTGATGATGTGGATTATATACACTTGCGGATGTTCTCCGCCTGTTCTGCATTCCAGCCCTTGAGGTCTTCTCCGTTTTGGCGGTCGCCTTTCACGATGGACTTGGCTGCTGACTCCTCTGACACTCCCGCGCTCTGTTGCACCGGCAGGCGTGGTAGGCGGTTGGCCTGGCCGGACCACAGGTTGGGACGCCCGTGGGAAATCTCCTTGAAGGTTCGCTGAAGAGGTGGCCACAAACATGCTTATAAACTGAAAGGTAGAATGCCCCGACTAGTAGAAGAAGCAGTTTTGGGAGCCTTATTGTTGTCCATTACATACATTCCTCACTTTGGACATGAAAAATGTTGGAAAAATATCATGGAAATGCGTAATACCTTGGAGAAGTCGTACTTTTGGGAGGTTTGTTGCATATATCCTCAATTTGGAAGGAGGAAGGCCTTGCACTATCTACATCTATACTTTCAGCTGCATCACAGCTGAAAGTTAGAATGTGGTTTCCTTGTTTTGGGAAAAAAGGCTCATCAATACTATCGTTTGGAAAAACATTTAAAAAAAGGTATCTTTTTCTAAGTTTCAGTTTTGGAATATAGGTGCTTACTGCCTCACTAGCACCGCAGCTGGTCTTTCTGCCAAGAAGGAAACCATTATGCTGTTCACTGTCCAGCATTCGTCCCTGCACTCCGCCAGCGAAGGATGTGCTGTCCCCATTTGTGACCGATACACAGGCTCAGGGCTTTGGGGATTTGTGTGGCATGGTCCTGCACCTCTATTCGTACTCTGGTTTGACACTCCCCCCACCTCCTTGAGGTGGGATCCACCACCACCAACTTCATGCCTACTCTAAATGAAGAAGTAGTCATATATCGATGTAGCATTGACACCCTGGTCAATGAAATTCCCTCACACGTTTTGCTGGCTTGACATCCCTCAACAGGACTTTGCTTCTTTCGCCCTGACTCACTTGGAGTCCTCGAAGAGCAGGTTCAGGAAGCTGAGGTTTGGATCTTCTAAACCCTCCTGCGCCAGCGAGCCAATCGCTGCACATCCCATCACTGGTTTTATTTGAAGTGTTCTCCTAACAGACCAAGCGACGTAGGGCGGCCGAGAAAAGTGTGGACCCACAACCCAGTTTAGTGCTCGCAGGATGGGCGGGGCAGAAACACCAAGGACCGCTCCCATCCTCAGTGATCGTAAAGAGATCCAGCATCTTTTCCAAGTCAGTGGCTTGCCACACCTGAGTCGAAGTTTGCTCCCGCTGGCTGCTCAGAGTCTCTCAAGTTCCCGATGGAGCAAAGTAGTCGCGTAGATGCTCGGCATGTTGTAAGATGAGATGGTAGAGGAAAGAAACATCCCCAAGATAAACACACCCTGAGAGTCTCACCAACTCGTATCTGCTAAAAGTCCACTCAAAGGGGAGGTGAGAGTTGCACTGGGAAGCACCAGACACCAACCTTCACAACTTCACACCCTTCATCATCTCAGCGGAACCATCGGCCACAAATCGAACCAAGCAGCCCAATCGTCCACGGCACCTGGATTTGTGACACTTTGGTGACTCGTTTGGCACAAGAGGAACCTATCCCGGATTGGGAGGTTTTCACTGCACTCAACCTGCATGTGCATGTTGCATCCGACATGGAATGTTGGGATATGCTTCTTTCGAAAAGAAACTCATGTTGAACTTCACTTCTATGTGACACTTGTTTGGTATAACACAAGCCAGCTTGGGGTCTTACGGTATTTGTTCATATATATTGTTCTAAATCATGAAGAAAGAACAAACCTGGGCAATGGCAATGACCCATAAACGTTCACTGTGCTCGCAAAGCAAATGCTCTCTTGGAGACCTCACCTGGACCGACTTGAGCATAAGGAAAGCGAGACGAACTTCACCATCTCGAAATGAGAGACCAATTTGTACGTATGGATTTCAAGTTGATTCAAGCAAATTTGTTGGAACCAAAGTCCACATTTGGCAACTATTTGGTGCAATATCGGCAAACACAAAAGCAAAACATGCTCCTACCTAGCAAGTACATTCAAGTTCCACACGTATACCTGCAACCGACATCCAAGGGACGGTTTGCATCGAAGCCCAGCTCGAACAATCGTTGAGCAAAGGCTAAGGAGACGCTTTGGGCGATGTGGTTGCAAAGACAGCTCTTGGGCCTGGGCATCCAGGTTTGGAGGGTCTGCTGGTTGTCGTCTGGCTAGCAACGGTCGGAGCGACGATCGGAGAATAACTGGGTGGTTTTTCCATGCTTGTCCGAGGTGTAACCACATAATCCCACGCCCTTGCGCCTTGTACTCAGAAGGCGCTATGGTGGCCAACCAGAGGTGCTGTACAATCAGTTGAAGGATAATCAGCTGTCGACATGGGTTGAAGCCGTACAATCAAGAGTGGGATGGCTGTGAGTTGAAAAGAATCGGTCCAATATGTGTCACCAAGATCCCGTTCAACGTTTATCAAGTTTGTTTATGAAGTCACGGGGTGCAAAACCATGCGACACTTCCAACAGTGGCTCTAAATGACTCATTCTTATACATAAAAGATATACATGATATGATATAATATATAGAAAAGGTCCTGGTTGCTGGTGGAGCCTTGGCACCACATACCGAACCATAGTCTCGTCATACCGAAGCCATGGACCTCACACGCCAGTCGCTCTTTCAGCCCTGCCACCTGGCATCGGGTGGTTTGGAGGTCTCAAAGCTCCGTTGTGCCTCCGCGTAGACCCGCCGCGGACTCGTTTTTCTTTGGCGGCTGCCGTCCTCCAACAGCTTCCAAAGCCTCATGCCAGGTGAAATGGAATCAAAAGTGATCAACAGGAACAAAGCCTTACTTCAAAAGATCCCTGGAAGGTATTTTGCGCTATAATGGACTATACATATATATATATATATTATATCCCTTTGGGATTTCAAGGAGGGGTTGTGCAGGCCACTTTATAACGATAAAAATGTCTCTCTAGAAAAGGCTAGAAAATGAAAGCGGATTCCGGAAGAACATGCTCCATAAAATTCATGTGGATACCAAAAAGTATTTTTCGGGAGTAGGAGTGTCAGCAGCTGGCTTCTAGAAAATTATTCTACACGACCCTTGCAGCAATTTGAAGAAAATTGTCAAAGGTTGGATTTGCATTTTCTAGAGAGCCGTTCAATCGTCTTTGTCGATGCTGAACCTGAGGTTCTGAAGCACCAATCCAAAAAAATAAACATCTTTCATGTGTTTTGCGGAAAAAAAACTGACAAATCTTTTTAACAAATATTGAAAAATATGAAACAAGTCATGCCGGTCATGCTGTGCTCATGCGTCCACCAAAAGTTCAAGACAAAAATCAAACAAAGGAAACAAACAGTTTAGCTCAGAAACGTTCAGTTCCGGGAACTAGATGCCGGCAATAGTGCCATTAAATGCATCCATGACTTTTCACTGCCCTTAGAAAATGATATGCCCAAGGTCGTCTCGTCCAAATGCGTTTCATCCTTCAAATTTGGCTCTAGAAAATGTTTCAAATGAGTTGTTTTGCCTCCGATCTCTGCCAAAGATGTCATCGACGCAATCCATTGCTATAAAATGCATGCTCATCCAGATATATCAGAATGATTCTCCATAAAAAAAGGCCTTCTAACAGGGTTCACCCTACCCATTTCCTAGATGAAATCCTAAGGTGACTAGATATATACTGTAATAGTAATATCTGCACTTCCCTCAGATTAGTGTGTAGTCACTGCGACGTGAACAATACATTCGACGCAACTATTGCAGTCTCGGACTGTCGGAATGATGTCCGGACGCCTTTTCGAGCGCAAACTTTCTCATCGGAAGCTCTTCAAATCTCTAAACAGCTCACCTGTCCAAAAGCCTCTCTGCTCCACGGGCTATGTTCCGAGCTCTTTGGTCACAGGTGCTCTCGGTGGGCAGCCGACGTTTGGAAGTGCAATGAAGCAATACGAAAGCATCTCCAGCGGGTGTTGGAAGACTTCTATATGAGAGCAAACAACCCCAGTTCATGGTCCTTTGGCCTCAACAAAACAGATCAACACAGCAATTAAAGGCTGGTCTGTAGATTTGACACAACTGCAGACTGTGAGCGAGCAGAGTGTGACTCCACCAAGGAGCCCTTCGATTTCGGGGGCAATCTCTGGCGAGGACAAGTCTACGGCAGTGGCTTTCACATACTCCTGCGATGGCGTAGAAAGCGGCAAACACTTGATGAGGAGGAGAAACCAATGGACGTCACATAGCTTCCAAAACAACAGTGTAGCAAGCAACGGAGAAAGATCTGTCAGTTAGTGAGATATCTGAAGACATGACGTCTGCTCCAGCATGAAAGAAATCCGCCCCTGATGCGGATGTCCCATGATATCCCGCTATCCCACCGGGACTCCCACTGGGATCTCATGACTGGAGACAAGGAGAAACAACTGTTCCATCTGAAACAAAGAGAAACCAAGGCAATCAATGAAGGCACCGAGACAAGTGTTTCGAAGAGTCCAGTCCTGGAAAACATCCACCAACGACTGTAGGAAAAAGATCTCGCCTCGTGCAAGTCACACGAGATATGTTCCAACTACATAGACTGAAACATGGGCTCAACCCAAAGTTGCCGCCCCTCGCCCAAGGTGTCGAATCACAGCCAGGCGTCGACTGGTGGCGGTGGCTTTCTTCAGAAGTTCAAAGCTCTGTAGGACAACGGGTGGCCAATTGATGGAGGTGTCCCAGCTGAGCTGTTCTGGGCGCGACGTCTGGCGGTTTGGTGCACAGTCGAACCACACATTGTGGTGGGTGTGAGGGTCGTGGACATGCCCCAAGATCCTTTTTCGGTGCGCTTTCTGTTTTCGAGTGTTCGTATTTGGTGTGGGTCGAATTCAAATGTTAACATTGAGTTTATTTCATGATGCCTTCCTACCAAGCCGATGAAGCCTATAGCGTCTACAGACTACATGACCTCTACATACCTTCACTGCATTTCCCACAGTGTCTATGTCAAGTCATGTCTTCAAGCCCGCCCTCTTGTCAGACCAGCGTCTGTTGTGACTCACTTGGCTCGCAGACTTGATATTGCAGTCTGCAACAAAGGTCGCGGCAATGGCCTGCGGTGCGGTGTGGTGCCGTCTTCGTCGGCCGTGCATCGTATGTTGTGCGTCTGATCATCGGGTGATCTGGTCCTATGAAGTGGTCCGACCTGCGTCCGAAACCCGACCTGCTGAAACAAAGCATCCAGGAGGACTCAAGTGCCATACACTACAGCTTAAGAACATCTGTGTAAGTGCATGTGCCAAGCAAAGTACTGGACAATGCAAAGTATGTGGCTTCCAGTTTTCAGTATACAAAGCCCTACATTCATGAACATATAATGGAGTCTGATCTGAAAGGCTCCTATTCTGTGGAGGATTCCCAAAAACGAAGCCGGCCTGGAGGTCATTGGGGTAGGAGAGAGGACTCTGGAAGTTGAAGGAAAGCAGTCCTACCCCGACAGAGTCGCCTTTTTGATGAGAAAGCTCAAGGTTGTGTTCACCTGTGACGAGCCAGGATCCTCAGAGTGAGGACAGCGTGGCCATGTGAAGAAACTAAAACTTTGGCCACCTGCTCTTCCTGTGAAGTTAAAAACATGTCTGAGAAAACCAGTCCTCAGGCCTTGCTGAAGAAACAAATGTTTGGCTTCAGATTTCCAGTCAGGTACAGTGCGATACATCTTCCTCGCGTAATTCCAGGAGTCACAAGAAAGAATACGTAGGAAGAAACATCTGGCTGACTGTCTAACACCTAAAACCCTTCTGGCCCCCCTTTCTGGCTTTCTGGACCCGTCTGAAGCAGTTCGAAGACCCTCTCGACGAAAACACCGATCCTCTCGCCAAGTCTCAAGCTGAAGAGAGGTGTGCTCGGCGTGTCCACTGACCAAGAGATCTCCAAAGTGCCTTTGCAGGCATGAACCACAAGAAAAGTGGCCAGAAAAACAAAGGGTATAGTTATATTTACATCATTAGGGTTCAAACAATAAGCCTGTGTACAAGTTTCTTCAAAGTGACTCTTGGAGGTCAAGTGAACTTTTGAAACCCTAGTGCCTGAAACAAAGAGCATCGCTCTCTTTGTTCCTTCTCATTTCTTGCTGCCATCAGTATTGTGACCTTGGGAACCTCGACATGAAAAGGAGAGTCGAGGATAGTTTCGACCTCCTCCATGTGTGGTATGCACGTGTGTATAATGGTGGTACTGATGGTGGTTATCACATGTTATCACAGTTGCAAAGTCTTTGAATGACAACGATAGAGAGAGATGCAGTACACGTCCTCTACGAGGGTGTCCTGGTCAGCTTCCATGATTGTTGGAGGGCCATATTGGTGAACCAAAACAAGGAGATGAATAAACTAAGGTACGTAAACCTGACAGTGCCAGTCACGTTTCTGGGACAACCTGACAAACGAACCACATGGGTTTGCTATGCCCTCCTCGTTGAAGGACACATCCCAAAAACCTGACAACTCGTTTTGCTCCTCTATTTTTTGGAGTCTGCCGCAAAAAAGGATACTCGATCCCTAAGAATCTGCCAGAGATGCTCAAAGAGCTCTCGGATCTCTTTCCGGAGATCCATCCTCTCTTGAGGGTCCATGGTCTCGATGTTCCTGGGAAGCAAAGTGACAACGGCTGGTGGTGGTTCGGCGAAATTCAACAAGCGAACCTGATTCCCGGTCATTCACCAATTCACCTCAACTTGCAAAGGTTGGTCATGAACTACGTATCACGAGTCAGCCGATTCGGTAAGTCGATCTGAAATTCAGAAGGTACCATCTCAACCATTGGGGTTCAAGCTCATCCAACTCCCCCGATTTCATTTCATTCTCGCACCCTTGGGGTAAGCGATCTCACAAAGATCCAAACTGATTTTGATTGGCCCGAGTCGGCCCGGCTGGGATTTTTCCCTTCTGTCCGCCTGTTGGGACGCCCAGGCTGAGGGCATGCTAGTCATGCTTCCACACTCATCCATCCCCTCCAGTCCACCGGGTTCGTTAGACCCCAAACCGGCCAACTGGGATCCACATGGATCGACATCGGTCTGAAACCTTCAAGGCTGGCTTGGTCCGTCCGTCCAACCCCAGGCTGCCGGCCATGTCGTCCAGGTCACGTGCAGAAGGGGTTCCGGCCATCTTCATGCTCCAAAGCCCAGGTCACCAGCCTCGAGAAAACGGCTCAGCTCCCATCGGGGTGGAGCTGTCTGTTGAAGGTCCAGTCTTACCTAGCTACATCACATACAACAAATATGTTGTACGTTATAGTACATAGTTTGCGGGTGTATCGTGATGTCTGGGACAATGTTGATGCTGGTATTTCCAGTGTGAAATCGAAGCAGCATGCTGACAGAATCAACAGATCTGCTCACGGTGATTGTAGACATGGTTTTCTCCATGTTGGTGGACATGTCGAGACTGATGCATGCAAGAATGTTCGAAAGAAATGGATTATGTGGATGAATTGTCCAAAAGTAGAGGTTTATCATGGTTCAATCAACCAAACTATGGGTTTCCTATTTCTCCTGCAATCCATTTGGCAACACCAATGTCATTCCAAGCCACTCCATCCAGGTTCGCTTCTGCGTTGCTGAAACTCTCGGACGGTCTTGCAGTTCTAACTCCCAACTGACCCACTGTTCCACATTTCACTAAGAAAGCAAAGTAAGGTGGCGAGAGTCCCTGTGAATAAACTATCGAAACATCTTAGCACCTGTCGTTCGACAGCTTCCCTCGTCCCAGCACACCGTGTCAGCACGATATCCCAAGGCAAAAAGGAGGCTTCGCCCCTGACTTCGCCCCTCCACATGCCTCGCCCCTCCGGGTGGTCGCCAGTACCTCCACCTCCGCATTCGCACATCCATCCTTCGGTGCAGAGGTGCTTCTTCGCTCCGGGCTGCTGCCAGTCCAAGATGTTCGCCAAAAGCGGTTGCACCAAGACTTGGTTTTACGGCAGAACGTGAGGTTTAGGGCGAAATCACGACGTCACAAGCTGATTTCACCTCACCAGGGAGGTGAAGGGACTTTTTTGGCTGGAGGTCAGCAACTCCCCATGTTCAACTAGATGCAATGGTGACACGGTCAGTTTCCTTTTGAGGATAGCAAAGCTCGATGCACCGATGTGCCAAGTGACGATCACGGGCCTTAGAATCCATCGTCGTCTGGCCTCACCAGCTTTTGCGAGAATGGAGACATTGCTACTAGTAAGGACGCTACTAGGTGGAGGCCATCGCTACTAGGGTGGAGGCCGTTACTAGTAGTAACAAGAAGCTACTAGTAGCTACTTGCTACTGGTAGTAATGCCCGCGGGAATTCGGACTAGATCCTGTAAAGGCAATTACCACTGCTTGCCAGCGTTGCCTGCCTGCTTGGTCTGCTTATTATGTCTGCTTGCTTCTATTCTATTCCCCCTCTTCTATATATATATATATATTATATATATATATCACACAACTTTGGTAGTCTCTTCATATGTGGTTCCGGATCGAAGTTCGCCAGGCCCAAGAACAGAACGTCCACGGGACACATTGAACTCCCTGGCCGAAAAAGACTGTTCTCAAGTGAGCTTTACCGTCTGTGGCGTGGTGTTCTGGATTCAGACGTACATGTACAGATGTACGTATAGACCTTCCTAGGTCAAACGCGCGGCCGCTCGGACCTTTTCCGACCTCGGACCGAGTTGCCTGCAGGATCTGACGCGTGAACGAATGCTCGACAGGGGACACTGCAAATTCACTCCTCTTTATATCTTTCTTCTAGAGTTTTTGTTTGGTTGTTTGTTGAACCTATAGGCACAAACTGGCATCCGGCCGAGAGGAGGTGTGTCCTGGCATTCACTGCTATTCCACTAGCTCAAGGCTTCAAAGTGCGACGAGCGGAGCTGCCTGGGAATGTTTAGGAATGACTTGATGTCTTTTCAAAGTCAATGGCCTCCAGGTATGAAGAGAAGTCTTCAAAACGACCTCCCCTGCCCTTCCCGTGCTTCAAGATCCAGGTCAAATACCCATGCTTGCTTTCATCAAGTACCATTTCATGGTAACTCAATTTGGATGCTGCATATTTGGGTAGTGTACACAGGGTTTGACCCCATTCACTGACCGAGGAAATTCCTGGGGGAAGAACACATTTCTTTCCGGCACTCACAGGGTGAATCGGCATTTGGTCAACCGGCTTCTTCTCCATGCGATCTTTCACCAGCGCTGCGTCGGGGCTCTGGTAGCTGGTAGCAGCTTCCATAGCTTCTACAGCTTCCCAATCTTCATCCAAGGAACGAAGGCGTTTGGAGCCATCATGCATTGAACCCGAACTGCCAGACTTGGCATAGCCACTGGGTGAGGCATCCACGATCGCGACTCCTGAGGAGTGGTAGCGGTTCAAGACATCTGCCGCTGCCTTCAGCTCTTCGGGGCTTACGGGAGTCAAGCCGGACATTGCGTCTACAAGATGATTGCCGAATCAAATTGCACTTGTTTTGTCCACCTAGGACAAAAACTTCGAGCTTAAGGATTGCAATGATTTTGAGGAAAACATGTTTGCACAGTTCACACTTCACTATACACGATCAAGAAGAAAATCTATCTATACATTATCTTATGTTATTCTTCAAGCAGGCAGTCTATCGAACTCGAATCGACGGAATTAAAGGATTACACAGCATGGCACTCAAGGTGATTGCAAAAAAGAGTTCAGGGAAAAACATAGTGACCCACATTCACTACAAATCTGAACCTCCACCCTGTGTTCTCTGAGCGGAGAGCTTGGCTTGCGCAGAAACATTTGCTGCTGTGCGTTCTGATGCGACTCTTCGACGTCGCTCCTTTTCAGCTTTCTTTCGGTCGAGGACTGCTTGTTCGTCGGCCAGCTGATACTTGGCACTTCTAAGGACGGATCGAAGAAGGTCGATCGGTTCGGCTCGGTCTTTTGTGAGACCGTCGGCGACCATGTGTCCGGTTGGACACCAACGGGGCTCTAGGCCTGTCCTCCTGATTGACTGGCGAATGATGGCCACGTCGATGGCTGTTCTTTTGTCGTCGATCGAACCTCCGTTTCCTAGCGACACCAAGTGATCATATAGCGAACGGCAGTCGGTCATACCTATAGGACTATGTTTAGTCAAGGCCACATCTAGCTCACTCAGTTCAATGGGTCCATCTAGGCACTCTGACAGCATAAGGGACATCCACTCGCTCACCCCAGAAGCAGTTGCGAAAGCCTGAGCTTCACCGCTTAGGGTGCTTGCTACAACCCGGGGTAACCTATATGATTTCCAAGCAAAACTGAAGAGAGGAACATCATGACCCTGACTCATTTTCTCGGATGTGAAGGCTACCAACCAACCTCCTTGTGTTTTCTTTTCGGACGAGTTTGCGAAAGCGGCATCGGACCAAAAACACAAAAATAGTTCGCTGAGAGGAATGTATGGAACCGTGATCTGAAGGTCTGACTGTTGCCTGGCCCGTCGAACCGCCTGATTGGCGTGCAACAAATCGGACACAGTAGGTCTGGGAAAAGCTTGCTGACTTATCGAAGTCTGCACTGCAAGATCAGGCCGGGTTTGGGAAGTGAGCCAACCCAATGCACCGTTCACTGCTCTAAGAGCTGCTACCTCTTGATCTGTGGCTGCAAGCCAGTGCTTCTTTGCCCTATCCTTAGAGATCTTTATTGGTTGGATATGATTTGCATATTCTGTTTGTTGGAACCGGATCTCGAAGGTGTTTGGATCTTGAGTGTACACTGTTTCCAAAAACTCCCCTGTGCCGGTGCGCCACTTCCTAAAGGGAAATCGTTCTCGAAGAACCTTGATTGCTTGGTCATAGATTTCTCCCTTACCACCTGTGATGGTGTCATCAACGTGGGCACCTAGAATGCCTTGGAGCTCATTATTGTCACCGTAGCACAGATACAGGCAGTTATCGAACTTGGATCGGCTGAAACCTGCTGATGTTGCGACCTTGTCGAACTCACAGTACCATTCCTGTGGCGCATCATTGGCTCCGTAGATGTTTCCCATGATCTGTACTAAGGATCCGGCCTCGATGCCTGGTACCCCCCCTGGGGGAAGCTCAGCGTACACTGGATTTGCAAGTGCTTTGGCTTTTACATCGGCCTCTAGGAAAGCTCCCTTTATATCCCCTAGACTCATTTCCCAGTGGTTGCTCACCAACATTTGCAAAACAATGCTACGGCCAAACTGAGACAGGGTAGGGGAGTGGCACTTGCCGGCCAGGATCTTCTGAGTGAGATCGGGATCATGGTGACCCCTCAAGCACCAGCGGGATTTGACCTTGGATTCACCATCCTCATGTTTTTCCACAACAACAAACCGTGAAGTCATGATCCTATGTGGTTTGGTGTCTCTGATTCTCTGGGCTTGTCTTGGGGGAATCACAACAATGGCTTTCTTCTCATCCCTCAAGGTTTGCCACTCAACAATCTTGGAAGCATCTACTTTTTCTTGAAGCTCGGGTGGATTTTTAGAGTGATGGATCTCCTTCTGCATTTTCTTTTTCAAGAAGTTTGCCACTAGCACCTCCAGCGTTTGAGGAGAATCTTTCACAAGGTCCGCTAGCAGACATTCGTCGACTTCTTCTGTCCGAACTGTTTTGTTTGGTTGATCCTGTTCTTTATCTGGAGAGTGACTACGTTTTGTTCCATGAGTTTCCATCAACACGTCCCGAACGTCGTCCTGAAGCATTTCAGGTGGTCTCAACCAAAAGGTCGGTGGCCCTTTGCTCTGTTGTCGAATTCGGGAAGCACGAACTGGTCCGTACTGGTTCTCTGAGCCTGGACTGGTCGTGGGACCCTGCACTGCTATGGTCTGCTCTAGACGATTCTCTTCGGAGACCGGTTCTGGTTCTAGGGCTCCACTCGTTTCCCCCACGGTCTGAGGGATTGGCTCTAAGGCAATTTGTTTCTGAGAAGACTCATAACCTACCGGACTTGATGCGTGTCGTTTTGACCTAACTCGGAAGTGAGACTCTCCTGTCCATGCAGCACCGGTCAAGGTGATTCGACATTCTCCTGGATTGGACAGGGGACAATGCACCAACTGTTCTCCTGTGTCAAAACGCTTGGTCAATCTCACGTCATCAAAATTGAAGCCCTTCACCACTGGATCTTTTGGGTCCGGCCAGAAGGTGTCTTGCCTTGGCTTGACGTGCGCTCGAATCAAGGTGTCGTCCCGTCTCAGCCAGTAGTCTTCTGTGCTCGGATGGAGACTTCCACGAGCAGCTTCTTTCAGCTGTTCCGGACATTCTTGCTGGGTGAGATCGACATACTGTGACCCTAGCTCTTTCGGGGACGATCGATCGAGGAGAGTTTGGATGCCCAACAATTCCCTACCATCGGTTTGTGCAAGCAAACGTTCTTCTGAGGTGACATGTCTCAGGTGTTCGGGAGCAACTTTGAAGATGTTCCGGCGATGGTGCACTACGAAATTGCGTCCTACTTTCCCCATGACTACGGCAACCCCAAACCATTTTCCCCCAACAATTCTTTGTCCCTTTTCGTTTTTTTGTGATCTCCAGTAGGCCACATAATCACCTGCAAGAAAATCTCGCTCCACCCTTGGACGGGCGTTCAGGGCTGAACGCATGCTCTGGTCATCCTGAGCCATGACTAGTGCTGTTCGTGCATGCATTCGAATGGCTTGTGATCGTGCCGCAGCAGAATCATGCAAGGCTTGAGTTCCGGCAACGGGACATGGCTGTTCTTGAACGAGGTCACTTGGAATTCTTGGATTCCGACCAAAGACCAACTGACATGGGGACAGACCCTTTTGACTAATGAGCTCATTTTTTGCGTTCATGGTTTGGACAATGCACTGCTCATATTCGGACTTATCCTTGGGCTGTACCTGGTCGAGGACTTTGGTTAGGATAACCTCGAAAAGATGGCCATGTTTCTCAACTTTACCTAGCTGATTGTGTGCTTCGGCGGCAATGGTAACCACTCTTGTACCTTCTCGTTCCAATTGTTGAAACACGGACTCTGCTGTGTTTGTTCGTGCCGGGTCAACGATCACTTCCTCAGGAATGCCTGCCCACTGCTGCCAACCCCGCAAGTAGAGCTGTTTCAACACATCCGCGGTTTCTTGTTCAAAGAAAGGAATCATGACTTGAAAGCTGGAAGCATAGTCAACAATGTTCATGCATTTGACCTTTTGTC